GAAGTTTGGTAACGATTATAAATAGGACACAATTTATCCTTTCCTGGCAATCCAGAATCCTTGCAAATACCATGTCTGGGAATTTAAGGAAAATCATCTAAAAGTTGAACATTTGTCTTCATCATGGTTTCCAAACAAAGGGAAAACTGTCTCAGCAAAAATGCAGCATTCATAGGCCAGAGAAGCTGGTGAAAACGATCCGGATGTTTATGTGGTGAAGCCCCGGGAGTAAGGGATTCGTCCAGCCCTTTGAAAGAATGTCTACATGGGAGGCTCTGGGGAATCCATTTCACTTTCAAGCAGAAAAACCAACTGTGATTCTGAAAAGAACGATGATTGTTGTAACCAGGAGAACATTTTGAAAACTACAAAGCAAGTTAACCACACAAGCTTAAAAAAACCCCGCTGCTACCACATCCGTGGAACAAAGCTGGAGTGCACAGGGCCCTGGCACTCCTGCACAGTTTCCACAGGGCTCCAGAATGTTCTCTTTTCGGGATGAATATTTGGGCTTTTACCATAGGAATGTGTCGGCCTTTGGAAGGTCACAGCCAATCCCTCAGCCCTCTTGGGTAAGACTCCGGTCTTTTCTAGGGGTGATTTGCAGGGTGATCCCAGGTGGCCCGAGGCAACCAGGGGAGGGGGCTCCCACAGGGACTTAGGGAGCAGTAGCAGGACCAAAGAGCTGGCAACTCTTTGGGCTCATTTTTTTTTTTTTTCTAAAAATTTTACTTATTTGACAGAGGCAGAGAGCACAAGCAGAGGGAGAAGCGGACTCCCCACTGAGCAGGGAGCCCAATGCGGGACTCGATCCCAGGACCCTGGGATCATGACCTGAGCCGAAGGCAGACACTTAACCGACTGAGCCACCCAGGCGCCCCAGGCTCATTTCTTGGGATCAATTCTTAGAGGGGGGAAAAAGAAAAAAGAAAAAGCCACAGCATACTTTGCTTTCCACTTGCACCTGGAAAGAAACTGAATCACTACAAGTAAGGGTAGGGCAAAACGACAACACCTGCTAGTTAGGGCCGCCCAATGTCTCAGGTCACCATGCGCTTAGACTGGGGTAACCAGACCTCACTTCACATCGCATTTATTACTAAGGAGGGTGACAAGTAGCTTCCTTTCTAAGAAAGCAAAATGACGGAGTGGCCTGAGGAGGAAAAGAAACGATCAGAGACATTAAAAATAATAGCAGTTATGTAAAGAGGTGTCGAATCACTAGATCGTACACCGGAAACTAATACGACACTGCATGTTAATTCTACTGGAATTAACAAATTTTAAAAATAAAAATAGAATAATAGCAGCTAACAGACCACATTTAGGACCGATGGCAGTCCCCAATGGTGAGCTCACTGCTTCTGTGTGGATCTTCCTACCAGTGTGTAAACTCCGTCAGTCTTGTTCACCTTTCCATTACAAGAGCTCAGCAGGTAAGGAGGAGCTTAATAAATAATTGTTGGCGTGAACAAATAGATTGTAACTACGTCAGAAACGATCAGTTCAAGAGGAGATTGAGACCGGCTTCCAAATGTTGGTCAAGAGCTCCAAGTAGGATGAGTCAAGGAGGTATTTAACTTATTTAACGGCCTCCTATGACCCAGTGATGTCTCCGGGTCTTGAAATCTGAGGCGGTGACAATGTCATAAACTGCAGTCTTTCTGTAAGGAAAGAGTAAAAACACCCTGGTTTTGGGGGGTGGGGGGATAAGGACGTGTTCAGGAGGTGCAGCTGCCTGCTTCCCTTCCCCCTGGCTCCCATTTCTGCCTGGGCTGCAGGCCACCACCCGGCCCTGGTGGGGGGTGGGGGGCGCCGCTGGGCTTCCCAGCCCGGCTTAGTGTGCTTGACCAAAGGTGACGATGACTTAGTGGGCTAAGGTCATGCCCTCCCAGCCTCCGAATCAATAATTTAATGTGACTTATCAGAGAGAGAAAGAACTGTTTACTTTAAAACCCTGGATCCCATAAAGGGAGAGCGGAAAGGCCTACACCCCCCAGAAGCTCAGGGCTCGCGGCCACAGGGCACAGCCCACACACACCAGGAGCCTGCACGGCGCGGGCCGCGGGCCAGAGGAGGGCCCAGGCCCGGGCGAGACCAGCGCGGACTGGAAGGTAAGCACCCCTCTCCCCGAGCCCCTTCCAGCTCCCCTGGGGGAATCAGGCCGTTCTTGGGGGTAGCCACCAACTCCGAGAAACAGGGGCGCGCTGCGCCCAGGTGTTTCCAGAAAGCCCGCCCAGCACCTGAGCAACGTGAAGTGTTAACCACAGCCTATTTGAATTTGTCTGCCATGATTGCTCTGTTTCTTCAGCAAGCCTGGGAAAACCGGAGACCTTCCTGGAGGTTCCTCTCAGCCCAGCAGAGGAGAGGAGCTAGGGAGGATTTGAGGGCCGAGACACAGCCCCGACTTTTATCGGTGCCCTTGGAGTGGCGTCCGTGGAGCCACTTCCTGTCCAAGGATGGACTGAATAGTAGCACCAAGGCCTTCACACAAGATCCCATCAGCAGGATAATTGGAATTAGGGGGCTTGTTAGGCCAGGAATCCCTCCTCTTCCCCATGCTCTGGGGCAAGCACCCCGCAAGGCTCCCTGTGTCCCCTCTGATACTTCTGAAAAGCCAGCCTCAGGGTTGTTCCTTTGTCCGAAGCCTTGTTGCCTTGACGACCCTGAAAACAGACACCCGCACAGGAATAAAACCGGTTCTCAGGAATCCCCAAACCTCAACAATTCTCTTTGAAAAAGGTCTGTTGAGACCCCAACCTGCCTGAGAATTTTCCCAATCAAACCCCCACCCCCACTTTCACCCCTGGTTGGTGATAAGCGTGGCTAATAATTGCAGGCATAAGGAGCTTTCCAGATTTTCCCTTGTAGATGGATTTCAGTGAAAAAAAAAAGATATGTGCCTTTGCTCCTTGTTGACAAGAACATTCTATTTTAAAATTTCCATGTACTTTCAAAATGACAAGTCTCAGGCATATGATACTAACTTCCTTTGCCTTCAGCTAGACTGTAACAGCCTTAAAGAATCTAATTGATGCCTCTAACACATCTGTTTGAAATGACAGTAAATGTGGATTTGGAATTAAGAAAAAGCATCTCCATTTATCTTTTGCTTTTTAAGAAATCTTTTTTTTTTTTTAGGCTAATGGGTTAAGTTTGCAGAAAGATGACACTTCACAGACCCTGGAAGCACTCAGTCCTCAGGGTTGGCCCTAGAACATTCTCAGCGCCTGGGAAACAGAATCTGAAAGCAAAGACAAGCCCCGATGTGAGGAAAGGATAGGGAGTCTTGTGATATTCCTGGTACTGTGGAATCTAAGATCAAGGAGCTGTGAGGCACACAGAATACTTAACAGGCTGATGAATTTACTAGAAGGTTAGGCTTGCAAAGGCTTCCTCCTTAATGAACTCTCCCTCCCCATTTATGGCAAGAAACCCATGACATAAAAAAAGGAGCAAACCCAGGCTAGCCTGTTTTTCATACCCACAGGCTCAGTGGGAAAACAACTTTCTGAATTGACCACAGCAACTAGAAATGTCTAGAGATTCGGTCCAGGTTGGGACAGTGAGGGAAGGGAGATGGGGACACTACACAGAAATTGAGTTTTGATAGCCAAGCGTTTAGGTATGCGTAGCAGTTGACCTCTTTTAGGAAGTAAGGCAGAGGATCCTTAGAAAAGGCAAGGTCTTTTCTGAGCTGTGGGAAACGGTGCAGGCATCTCACATTAACCTGAATAACACCCAGTGTCTTTGCCTGATGCATTACTTTTTTCACAGGAAGTAACAGGTATAATTATTTCCCAACCAGCTTATAAACATTCTGTTCTTTATTAACGGGTACTATTTAAGTGCACTTGTTAAATTGGAAAATACTAGAACAAAAGATTTTTTTTAAGCTGCAGATTGAGAAATGACTGTGAAATTAAAAATATATATATATCCAAGGAGCTCCTGGCATTAACCACTTCTAATTTTTTTTTAATTAGTGGCATATTATTGGTTGGCATTTGAAGAAACCGAAAACATTCCACTTGCTCGTGTAAACTGCTTTGCCAATTGACAGTTTACCCACTCCTACAGAAACAAAGCATTGAAAGATGAGGACCAATATAACTACGTTTAAAAAATTGTTCACAAGGCTGAGAGAATAGGCAGTCAATAAATATGTGTTTATTGATGGATGCAATAAGACCATAAAATTGTTGTTCTGCATAATAAAGTATTTCACTAATAATTTGCTAGGAAATTAGCCTGAGGCTCCTCTCTGCACAGCACTCACATTGCGAGCTTGTCGGCAAAACAGCGTAAGCTCTAACCTCCGAATTTCAGAAGAGTGTTTTGCAAGAAGGAATTTTTATTATGGGATCCACCAAAAAAAAGAAAAGAAAAGAAACTGTTTAAAAAATTGTTTAAATTCTAATTATTTTTCTCATTACAAAAGTACTACATTAATTGCTAAAATTAATAAATGCAGAGAAGCAAAAGGAGGATAAAACCCCACTATAATTCCACCACTCAAAGATAACAAGGTTAACTAATTTGATGTTTTTGCCCTGGGCGTATATGCATTTGTCACAGAAAAGAGCTCATACTGTGTATGCTGTTCTGTAAACTACTTCTTCATTCAGTCACATACCTCGAATCTCTTTCCAAGTCAACAACCATTTTTCTACAATGTCACCTTAAATGACTAGGTTATATTATAAATATATTACCCTTTCCCTATCATTTGGGTTGTTTGCAATTTTTGCTCTTATAAACAGGGGCTCCGTGGACAACCTTATAGGTAAATTTGTATACAAATTCGTAGAAAAGAAAAATCTTTTCTAAAATTCAACGGCTTTTTGCTTGAGATAAATTTCTTGGACCAAAGAAATAGAGGTGTTGATAAATAAAAACGGGAGTTCTGTAAGCTTTACCTGAAACGCATTAACGTTCTCCTCTCTTCTTCCCTCTTTACTCTTCCTCCCCTTTTCTGTCTTTTGCAGATTAGTAAGATGCCTCAAGCATACAGAGCCCACCTGGAGAAGTGCAGGCATGCTCAGACCCTGCTGGCACATCCTGAGAGGTGAAATGGGCCCAAGCTCTTGCCCGATGGACGGCTCTCCAAGCATGTCCTACCGGGACCCTTCTAACCAGTGAATTGTTCACCTCCCAGTGATTCTTCCCGACTAAGGCCAAGAGATTTCTGGAGCCTCTTGTCATGGTCAGCAACATCCCATGAGTGACCAGGAAGTGGGGGTTTCTGTTCTAAGTCCCTCAGGCAAAGACAAAGCAGATGAACCTGGCTCTGGGGAAGAAGCAGAAGAGTGTGTCCACCATGGCTATGCCCAGAGTGCCGAGGGTTGGCATGACTGGGGCCAGCTGGAATTCTAGAATTTGTATTTGGCGTGAGTCACGCCAAAACCACCCAGGTGAAGAGCTCCCCCTGAAGACAGCTGGTCTACCAGTGGGCCGAGTGGCACCTTCCCGCTGCCATGCAAATGACCACACCCTGTCAGGACAAGTGAGGGTCACAGACTGGAACCAAAGGAAGTCAGGCGCTTCATAGGAGGATAAGCAAATCAACCCAGTCAAGAAGGTAAGGGGAAAAAAGAGGCAGGGTTCCCCACCCCATCCCATGGAGACTGAGATGGTGTGCTAATAACTGCACATTCTAGGTTGAAGAGGGTGATTTCCTGGTCTGCATGTGAATAAGAGCCATTTTTACTGAAAAATGCAGAAGGGTGCATATTCAGTTGTTTAAGAATGAGCCAATTCTATGGCCAAAGCAAGGCTCTGGTCAAAGGTTAACAACTCAGTTATCCTGGGAAAAAACAAACTGGCCCTCAACCTTTGCCTTTCCTAGCATTTGGGGGAAAATAAAGGATTAGGTACAATGATTTATTTCCTCTCATTCTCTCCGGTCGGCAGGAGCTCATGCATCAGTTAGAAACCATTTTTAACAGGAAAGCCAGGAAAACAGAAGGGATTTATTCATAGGAGGCTCCCTTTTGCTGGAAAATGAGTATTGTAAACAAAAAATTCAACCGTTCTCCTCTCTCCCTGCGCTCCTTTCCTTATCTCCCCTCATCTCCCACCCTCTACTTTGGTGGAAAATGACCAAGGTGAGTAAGAGTTAAAATCTGAGCACCATCTGATGCCTTGGTATGCAATAGATGTTCCTGAGAGTAAATTACAGCACATCCAAATGCTATATCCCCATGCAAAATCCTTTTAATTTTCTTAGACTGCAGAACTTACCACATTTATCGACAGTGGATTGGGGTAGATGGGAAGGTAAGAGTTGAGGAAGGCCCATGAATCTGGTCATATTACTACAGTTCATAATACAGCTGAGTCTTTGTTTCCTAAAATCAGTTCCCTCTAGGGATTCTCTCTCTCTTAACCCTCTTAGAAAATTGATGCAAACAGATTTGCCGTCCGTTTGCATGGGAAGTTTCATTCCCGTCAGTGGGAGGCCTTCCGTGGGGTGGTAACAGTGGACACAGGGCAATGGGTCGCTTTGTTAGCTCGACTGTTCCAGACACAGAAGCCTGACATTTTTCTCTCTTTCTGTTCCTCAAGATGTTCCCCCAACTCATGATTCCTCTTTTCTCTGCTCAGGTCACTATGTGGAGCTGCCAAGGTTCCCTGATGGTGACCAGTGGCAATGGCGGAGTGTGGAGGTGAAGTTACAGATTTTCCTTAACAGAGCTGTGGAGTGTGACAATGGTGTTTGTGTCCAAACTATCAAACGCCATTATCACACTAAATAGCTACTGTTAGGCAATCCTTCTGCTCAATAAATGCCTTGGCATCTGTGTGGTTTGGGCAAGAATGTTCCTCTTACAGCAGTGTTCCCGGTCCTGTGTAATTACTGAATAAATGCAGGCCCGTTGGTGCTCATAACCAACATGTCATCTGAACTTGGCCTCTCACACACTGTTGTTAAATACTTTAGCTGGTGATGAATTTTCTTGTTTTCCTGAGTCAATAAAAAATCTGGCCATGTCCCCCAGAGCACAAGGCCAGGCATGTGGCAATTGTTCAACCCGGGCTTGTGGAGTTGAAATGAATAGTTAGGCAAGGATTATATCCGGAAGACAAAAAGTGGGTTGAGTCCAGGTTTTACAAACCACAGGCTTATAGGAACAGAATTAACATACGTGGGTCCTCACTTCCCATCGTAAGAAAACAACCTTCTAGTAAACTTACACGTGGCTTAACTGACCTTTCAGGAAGTCTAGAACATGTTTGATTTCTACTGATGTTAACCAATTACGAGGCTGATTTCTGAATTTGTATGCTAAGTCCTTTTCCTTATGTTTCAATGAATTACCATCAGGAAATGTTATATGAACTGCGTGTGAGTTGCCATAGCAAATCTGAACATTTTAAACCCAAGCAGCTTCCGGGACAATTGGACCAGCTGGGTGTTCTCGTTTGAAATACATTTTTTCTCTGAGAGGCGTTTAAAGTAAGAAGTAGGTTCTGTTTGTGCTGGGCTGAAGCTTCTTTTCCGTGACTTGCCTGCATGAACTAGTATCTGTTTAATCAAATTGAAAGGTTTGGAGCAACCCTCAGAAATAAGTTCATTCAATCATTCAGCTGTTCATTTATCAAACAAATCTGTATTGAGAGGCTACCAGGTGTCCGGCTCAGCCCTAGGCACTGGGGATGCTTTTAAATTAAATGCGTCTGACGTCACTTCTGGAAAAGGGCATTCCCTGGCTCACATTCTGTCTGGGACCATTCTGATTGTTCCAATTATATTTATTAGGGAACTAAAGGAGCCGAACTTTGCAAAATAACTCCAAGTCCCTGGCTGAAAAGCACTGTGTGAGTGCAGTCTACACATCTATTATACACTGTTAAAGGCTCCAAGGTCCAGAGAAGCTTCTGTCCCAAGAGGAAGTCCATTCCTGTCTGCTCTGCATCTCCTTCCATCTTCCACTTCTTTCCTCCTGGCATTGTTCGCTGTCAAGAGGAGAACCAGCCCCCCTGAAATAATTAATACACTGACGTCCTTCTGGGTGTTTTTCTGGAGAGAGAGCTCTAACTGAAGCAGCAGTGATAGAGGGCTCTGTGGTGTGCAATGCACACTATTTGTCCGATCCGTGCAATGCAGAGCAAAGATGACAGGTTTGGGGGTCCTTCCACAGATGACAAAGGGAGACTGGGAATGGTCCTGGGGTTGTCTCGAAATGCAAGCACAGCTCACCCCGGTCTCCTCAAGCTGAAAGTCTGTCCTTCACCTGTGGTCTTCCTTGGCCTGGTTATTCCTCAAAACCTCCTGCTTTGCAGCTGAGGCTATGGAGAAGTTGGCTCCCTGTCTGCTTTGTCAAGGGACTCTGAGGGAGAGCCTGGAGACCGAAAGATGACTCATATGACAGTCTTTCCTTGTGAGTGTTCATAATGCAGAGGAAGTCGAACACAGCAAAACCCCGTAATCATGAAGTGGAAGGGAAGGGACATCTCAGCGGTAGTGTTGGGGTTAGGAAGGGGAGGGCCAAACTGTCCCCAGTGACCCAGCCAACTGATGTGGCGCTCACTGACTCAGAACCTCAGGCTGCACACCATGCCCAGGCTCAGGCACAATCCCGAGATGGCCTCAGGCATTCCTCTTCCTCATTCCTACTTGCCCTGAGATTTTGTTCAGATGGAATCAGACAGGAAGCAAAAAGAAGGACATTCTACATCTTTCCTACAAGGTTGGCTCATGAAAGGGCTTATTAGGGTTCCTGCCTGGGTTAGTTCTGCATCTGGGGTTTGGGGTTCCGTTCTTTCTAGAGATCTCTAAGGAACACACAGAAGGCAAACCTCTCACTCTCCATTTTAGAGCCGTGTCTCCTATAACCCCGCTGCTCCAAATCTCTGATTATGGCATCCTTCTTCAGCTCTGCTTCCATCTCTCCTACTGCCCCGGCATGATTCCTGCCAGTGTTCTCTAATAAAGCATTCCCGGGGACACCTGCGGACTCCGACTATAGTCTGTAAGATGAACAGGTCCACTTAGAAGTGCAGTGAAGAGCACACTCGAGCTGAGAGGCAGCAGAGCACCCCGGCGGCTACGACGACATGTTTTCCTCCCCAGGACACAGGCCTTACTTTGCTTTGTGAGCCATCCCTGCGAGGCCCTATGCACCCTTTCATCCTAGTACGATGTGTACCTCGAATGTGACAACTACCACTTAGGGCCCGTCCAATGTCCCAGCCATCCCCAGAGGAGGTTTTGTGACACAGCATAGCAGTTGACCAGATGCAGATGGCTATTCTGCACATTTTTTCTGAACTCTTCTTAAATCTGTATCTTCCACTGGGTATGTTTTTTGAATCAGAAGCTACTAGAAGGTTAGAACTGTGCACCAGTGTAGGCTTTATTCCAGTGCGGAAATTGAAGCCCAGAAAGGCTAAGGGACATGCCCAAGGCTGTTCAACTGGCCTGTGGCCAAGCTGGACCCAGGTTTTGCCCCTTCATCCCTATGTTCTGAGGTTACGGCCTGCCAAGAGTAGGCACAGAGGTCAAGCAGCACTTGCTGAATGAGGGATCTGGATGCCATGTCAAAGTCCCCTTTTCTTTTATTGCTAGGAGAACTGTCTCCTTCAGGTTTCAAAGGAACACTCCTGAATGCGGTATTCTAGAATTTGGTAGATGGGTCCATGTGGATGCTCCCCCTTTCCTGCATCAGGCGCTGTTCCCTGGAAACACATGGGTTGTCTCGTTGCTTTGTGCCTGGTACTGTACTGAGCTCTGGGGACGCAAGAAGGAAGCTAGGTCCCTTCTCTGAGCTGCTCTTAATCCAGGAGTTGGGCAGAGGTCTAAACAAAGACACTTAGGCCTCAGGGTCCTAGATGCCACCACAGAGCCATCAACGGGGTATTCAAAGACTTTCATTAATGGCCTTCATTTCCTTTCAGTTGAAGAAACACTGAATCTTTGACATTATCATCTTTTTTGTTACTGGGGGGGGCAATAATCGCTCGTCTTTATTTTGAAGATTCGATTGCCAACAGGCTAGAGGTCAAGGGCATTTCATTGCAATCGGTGGCAGTGCCGTACCTGAAGATCTCGCTGCTTTTCCTTTGCCACCTGGCAGCATAGTGAGCCACGTAGGATGTGCCGAGGGGCCTTAGCAGGGTTAGGGGATGGACTAGAACACTTTTCCGTTATGTGTGCGAAGAATTTGCATTTCTCAGAGGAGCTGGGGAAGATGCGAGCTGGTTGTCTTTCACAACGCAGTCTGTGTTCGTGCTCACACCAGCGGGCCATTAGGCGCATTCTTCCCTTGCTGCGTCCCTCCCTATCACAGGAAGCCTCGTCCCAGGCCACCGTGGAATGCCTCACTGCCTCTCAGCTGCCCCTTCCTTGGGACAGTTTCGAGGAAGCTGCTGGGTACAAACCCATGCACCCAACATGCACCATTTCTTCTATCTGAAATTCAAGTTTCCTTTCAAGCTTTCTGAAGGAAAAGGAGAGGTTCCATAACACATCCAGGTTTACAAAAATAGTAGATGGCCTCTGCAGATTCCTAAGGGCTTGGTCATAAGATAGCCTGCTTTAGACAGCCGGGTCACCCTATGTGTTCCGAAGAAAAAAGACTGATGTAACACAAATTTATTGTGTACTTAGAATGCTTAAACACTGCATGGGATGCAAAGATGAGTAAGACATTCATGCCCTCAGTCATTCATTCAACCAACATCCAGTCAAGTGTTCCTCCTATGTGTCAGGCATTAAGCTAGTCACCGAGAATTTAACGGTAAGATGCTTCCTCCAACGTCCAGTGTTGGCAACCTACTGAGGACACAGCCAGGCAAATGAGTCATAGTAGTGCTGAGCCTCAGAGTCTTTGAAGTAGATATGGGGTGTCATGGGGACCTTTAAGAAGGAAGTACCCTTGGGCGCCTGGGTGGCTCAGTTGGTTCAGCGACTGCCTTCGGCTCAGGTCATGATCCTGGAGTCCCGGGATGGAGTCCCGCATCGGGCTCCCTGCTCGGCAGGGAGTCTGCTTCTCCCTCTGACCCTCTTCCCTCTCGTGCTCTCCGTCTCTCTCTCTCTCTCAAATAAATAAATGAAATCTTTAAAAAAAAAAAAAAAAAGGAAGTACCCTCTGTGGCAGGTGAGAAAAGCATGTGCGAGGAGACACACTCTCCGGGGCAGAAGCACTCTGGTGCTCCAGATGGCTGTCCAGTTAAAGAGAAATTTGTGACTTTGGCAAGTGCAGGATAGGAGTGTTCACCGTGTCAAGTTTCCACCTTGAGCTACCTTCAAGTTTCCAAATCATTCCCCAGGAAGCTCTTCCAGAGAGCAATTGAACTATGAACCTGGAGGTCATTTGGTGGGGATTTTCCTTCTCAGAAAGGCAGCCAAACACCCACAGAAAAAGATCACCTTTTAAATAAAAGAAGCACGTTGTAGTATTTGGCCAGCGACTGGGGCAGGTGCATATGCGTGTATGTATGTTTGTGGGATACACGTTTGTGAAGAGTTTCAATTTCTCCAAGGAGCTTGGTAAAATGCCTTTAAAGTCTCATTCAGCTGGGACTTTATTTTATTTTCCTTTAATTTTTGAATCAGGGAAAAGCCAGGGCTCTGATCTCCAACTTGGGCTGAAGTGAACATCCTCCTGTTGGCCACCCCTTTGAGCCTGGGACCCCGCGCTACTAGGGATACTGCCCCCTCCTGGTAGGATGTGCCTCTGCACGTCGTAACACCAGTGGTCCCAAAGGATTTCAAGTTTGCTAGCTCAGTATTCCAAACTGATTGCTTTCAGAGCTTCCCTGACAGCACAGTTGGGCTTTAATTTTGATAAAGTAAGTTTTCAAAGGCTTGAAGGGGAGGGAGAGAGGAGCGGAAGACATTGTTCTATCCAGTGTCTGTTGACCTGGTAAATACACCAGACAAGAACTAACCTTGTTCTACCTAGAGAATAAGTCCCATCCTTTTCACTTTTCTGGCACATTTAACCCAGACAAGAGCTAATTAAAGCCTTTCCCATTTCTTAAGG